GACACTCCAATCAGCCGCCTATGAAAACATCACCAGTGCCATAACAACAAATCTGGTCGAACCTCTCATCTGTCCACTCCCTTTCCAGGAAACATGCTACACCAGAATGGCAGGCATAACAGATGCTTTACATTGGCCCAGACCCCTGGTTTCTTCCAGATCAGGGAGATGTGACTAGGAAGATTATTTCAGGAGTTTCCAGCCAGGTCAGAAACTCTGACTTGTGAGTCACCTTCTCGCCATGAAGTTGAGCTCCATGGTCTGTGTGTTTCCGAGGAACCCAGTGAGCCGTGAGAGCCTCTACCTTCTCACGTGCGTGACAGATGAGGCCTCAGCCTTTGCTTGAATACGTGCAGTACCGGGGCGAAAGGGTTTTTTAAAACAACAACACAACTGCTTTATTCTAGAATAATTTTAGGTTTATAGAAAAGTTATAAAGACAGTTACAGAGTTCCCTTACACCCCTCAGCCAGTCTTCTTCAATGACCTTGTGCCCTATGTAACCTTGGTACACTTATCACCACAAAGGACCCAACATCGATACGTTGCTATCAGCCAAACTGCAGACTTTGATCTGATTTTACCAGTTTCCCCACGAAATATCCTTTCTCTGACCCAGCATCCTATCTATGATATACCAGGCATTTGGCCGGGCATCTTTTTTGTTTTTCTTTTCTTTTCTCTTGTTTTTGAAAATAGTAAACATTTCTGATCTCACACAGTTTCTGGGACTATCACAGCCCGGCTGCTCTGGTTTAGGTTCTGGTGTGTGAGGTTTGCCGTCAAGCTCCGCTGGGGCTGCAGTCATCTGAAGGGTTGACTGGGGCAGGATAATCGGTGGCCCGGCCCACTCACAGGGCTGCTGGCTAGAGACCCCAGGTCCCCACCGCATAGCCCTTTTCATAGCACTGCTCATGACGTGGCTTCCCCAAGAGTGAGGGATTCAAGACAGAAAGAGCAGCGGAGACAGAAGCCACTGTGAGCAGTGCTTTTTCTTTTCTTTTTTTGGGGGGGGGGGGGGGGGGGGGAGGGGTGAGGCAGCTCATTCCATTGCTGAACAGCTCCATTTGCTGAGAAAACGGCCTTCCTGTAATCTCCTCCTGGATCCTTGCTCTGGCCAGTGGAGGGCTGGCCAGGAAGTCTCCCCATCCACCATGTTTAGTCCTCAAAAGAAAGAAAGAAAAAAAAGAAAAAAGAACTAGTGTCCCCTGAGTCTTCCCCACCTGCCAAAGACACGCTCATGCATCCATTCAGACAGCCGTTCATCATCAAATGCGGTTCCACACCTGACCTAAACAAGGGTGAGATGCTTCATACAGAGAAATGGAAGGCTGTTTATTCAAAGAACCTTCTCTATTCCCCTACCTGTAGACAGGAATCTGGTAGAAAGATAGCCATAGGCAGACTTGCATTTCTTTCCAAATTGACAGAAATTGTTATTCAACCGGATACGTAAGAGCTCAACAATTTATAAACATATTTTACTGTTCTGCCTCAAACAGAAACCGAGATTGGGTATGGGTCGAGCATTGTGATAACTGGGAAAATGTGACTCTTCTGGAGTTGGGTGTCACATGGCTTGAGCCTATAGCTGTCCTCTAGGTAGAGTTATGCACAGACCAGGGCTTCTCAACCAGAGTGATTTTGTCCCCGTGGGACATTTGGTGACATCCAGAGACATTACTGGTTGTCACCACAGGGACTGGGTGGGCTCTCTGGCATCCCGGAAATTGAGCCCAGGGATGCTGCTAGATATCCTACTGTGCACAGGACAGTTCCTCCCAGCAAAGAGTTAGCAGCCCCCAGCACCGCTAGACTCAAGTCTAGTGGTTAGGTGCCATCTCTAAAGGGCCACTTCCCGTTCTGCCACCAAGTGTCTCTTTTATAGCATTTTCCCTTCCCTTTTCACTGAGCTCCCCTCGCTGCCTGTGAACTCCTTCAGTTTGCCTTCTCTGAGAGTCTAGGTTTCTGGTCCGAGTCAACAGCAAGGCAGCTGTGGTTGGGAAAAGTAAGGGAGGTGGTGCCAAAAGGCATTCTTTCAAACTTCCCTCAGCAGGCATTTTCTGGAGGTTGGAAACAAGCTAGAACCTTCCTTTGAGGCTAGGATGGAGTGCAAACTCCAAGACTTGCCAGGTGTGCTGTGGCCCAGGGTCACTTATCCATGCCGACCTGGGGTGAGTGTGAGGACTGTCTCATGAAGTGAAAAAGAGAATGTTTGTATCCGTTGTAAATAGCTAAGCATTTTTAAAATTGTAGGCTACTATTCACAAAGATCACATTTTTTTTCCCCTATAAGGAGGCTTCAAGATATTGTTTGGAATCTTGGAATTTGAAGTACACATTATCCTTGTGGGACTGTGTGAACTCTCATGCTGGTGGGAATACAAATGAGCGAACCTACCTAGAAAATGTTTGATGTTACCTAGTAGAGGCCAAGATTGCATACGTGCTAGCCTGACAACGCAGCTTGTACATATCTCTCCCGGAACAGTGGTTCTTAGATTTCAGCGGGAACTAGCCCCTGGTGGGCTGGGGAAAGCACACATTGTGGGGCCCTGCCCCAGAGTTCCTGAGTCAGTAGTTTTGGGGCAGGACCATAGAATTTGCAGCTCTACAGAGTTTCCAGGCACTACCGATGCCAGGGGTCCCAGAGCCACATTCCAAGAACCACTGTCTGAGAGAGGGTCTTCGACATGGACATAGCAAGACATGCACAGCATTTCTCAAAAACACGGGTCCTGAGAGTCTCAAGCTAAAAGCAACTCACATTTCCAGTGAACCGTGGTATATTCGTACCAGAAAGCAGTATACAGCCACCTGATGGAGTGATCCACAGCCACCCGCTTCCACGGGGTGAAAATTTCCGAAGTGTTGACGAATGGCATAAAAGAGGCAGGAGAGAATACCTACAGTGTGACTCCATCTAGGGGAGCCCAAAAGTTGGAAAACAAACTGTATTCTTTATAAATGCATCTGTAGATGGCAAAACTACGTAAAACTACGAAGAAAAACAAATGCTTGATTATGGCAAAAACCAGACCAGTGGTCACCTGGGGCGAAAGGGAGGGAGACACACAGGGGGCTTGGGCACGAGCAATGTCTACCTCTGAACTTGGCTGTTGTGGTGTGGGATTTGGCCTCCTATTATTTATTTAAACTGCACATTTGTAGTTATACACATCTTTATATATGCTACAGCTTCCAATTAAAAAGAAGTTTTAAAAAAACCTATCTTTAAAGAAAATGTCCCCTATCCTATCTATCTGTGTGCTGGTTCTTTGATAACTTGCTTGAATTTTAGGATCTGTGCACTGGTTATGAAAACTAAGTCTCTTTAGCTTTACTATATAGTTTAGTTATTCTTCTGGGTCAACGATTAAAATGAAGGAATGAGAGAATGTTGTTAAAGAAATATACCCTTGTTACAGTCAGAGACACATGGAGATGTGAAATGATGAACAGCGTTAACAAAGTAAAAGTCTTGTCCTGTTTGGAGAATGGATTTGAGTCTTGTGTTGTTAGTATGTTTATTGTCATATATTTTATAATAAGTTGTGGGTAGGCCATATAAGTAATCATCATCTAGACACTGGAGATAAGAACATACCCATAGTGAGAGGTGGCTGTCTCTTCACCGCATTACAAGTGACTTACTCTTGTCCCCCCGTACAAACCTCACGGCTGCAAGGGTGCAGGCTCTTACGAACTGTGTCCATTTTGTGGGAGGAGAGGCATTCTTGCAATATTTCTTTGCTTTTTGAAAGAAGAGGGATTGACTGTGTCTGTTGATTATACCGTGATATCTTTTGCCTCCAAAAATCCCGAGAGAAGGAATTGGGAACATCTGCAGCCCCACTAGGATCCCGGGAATGCTCATTTCTGGTTAAGAACGTGCATGCTGTCTTTTTCTGATACCAGCATTTGGCTTTGAAATTTTATTGGGCTGAGTCTCCTTCTGGACTACAATTTTGAGTGTATCCTGTAAAAAAAAAATTCTAAATCCTCCTTTTAAACCCAAGTTTCCTTGCAGCATGGGCTGCATTTCCCCTACTTGACCTCGGTGCGGATTCCCGAGGTGTGCCTCCCACACGTTAGGTTGACGGTTGTGTAATCTTGAAACACAATTCTTGCCATGATGACTGGCAACGTTTTCTGATGACATCCCAGGAGTTTGATTGCAGCTGCCTACTGATATGAATGGTATCTTTATTATTTGGAGAGTTAGCCAGACATGCTACATACGTATGTTGCAAGTACAAGATGCTGGAAGGGGGTATATCCTTTACTTATTGTAGTGAAAACTTCGAAATGACCCAAATGTCCATTTAGTGGGGGAATGGTTAATAAAACTACAGTACAGCCACAGAGATCTACAGAGAAAGTAAATCTGAATTCATGCCTATGAGTCAGGGTCCCCATGAGGCATTTGATGTACAATGTTTCATTAAATCTCACAACAACCTCATGAGATTCCCATTTTATAGATGAGGATGCTGAGACTTGTCCCAAGTCACACAGTTAGTAAATGGTGCAGCAATAGTTAGATCTGACTTCTCTAGACTCCCAAATTCATCTCCTTATCCAGTTACACTCTACCAGCTTATAAATGTCAAAATCATATGTCCCGTTGATTTTCCTCTCGTGGAGATTTGATTCAAGATGACATTGGTTTGCATAAATATGAAAAATAGGAAGAGACCCATTTAATAGGAACAGCAGACATATCTAAGTGTCAACACTCAATTAATTCTGAAGGAGGTAAGTTTTCTCTACTTTCATGATTGAAACAAAATTTGAGAGCATACGTCAAGGTTCTCGTTGTGTGCACTATCCAAGTCAGGGATTTCTGTGTATTTTCAGAGCCATTATTCTGCCTAAAATGTCAAATTAGGAGCTAAGTAAGTGAGAAGTCATGCTTTTGCTCAAATGTAGGTATTGATGGTATAAGATACCACATGTATGCTTCTGTTTACGACTTTTCTTTCTTTTAATACTTACAGATGGACAGAAGAGAAAGAAATCTTTGCGAAAGAAACTGGATTCACTAGGAAAGGAGAAAAACAAAGACAGAGGTAAGGGACAGAATGAACTAGAGCCGAGGCATCTTCCGTGGAGCATAATGGTTGAATTTGGTGGAGTTTTTGAATTGCATAGATTTATGCAGTTCGACTCTATTATGCAAACTGGATTTCTACAATGGAATGTCATTAAAGCCTGTTTTGGTCTACTCTTTTGTGTTTGAGTGGCCCTGTACTGAATTGATGAATTCAATTGGTTTGAGCAAAGTGTGACTTGGGCCAAGTTTATGGTTCCAATTATGATGCTGGCCAATCAGCAGCGCATAAGAAGACCCTGGGTTGAGTAGCCATGGACAGCATCTCTAACGCTAACCAGCTGTCTGGCAAGGCCAGATCGTTAGGCAGGGCTAGTTGAATGAGAAAAAGTTTGGATTCGCCTACCATGGCTACTGGAAAGAAACAGTCTCATCTTCATGGGCTACAGGAGATGGGCCCTTCTCAGCATTTTTCTGTCCGATCACAGCATGCTTATTTTTTGCCCTATATGTTTTGGGAATTGTTGACTCTCTCCATACTGGTTTGTGTCCCCCTCTATGTCTATTTAGGGAACTGACACATTAGCCACTCTTTCAGAGGTATTTATGGTCATTTTAAACTAATATTCATTGAGCCTGCATAATGGGCACCTGGGCCCCATTAGCGCAGTACAACTCTCTGTGGCTTGTTGGTATGGTCCCATATGAAATGACTGCTGAGTGGTGTGGTTGTGTGAATGTATTTCCATTTTATGTGACATAATGAATGAGTGTTGAGTGAGCCGAGCCATATGTCTCACCTTGAAGTTCTTTTCTATAATGATTGAATTTCTGCTTGAAAAATGATGAAAGGCAGTCAAACCGAAGGTATAAAAATAAATGCACTATGGTCAGTACTGGACAAGACCTAGTCCACACCATTGATCCCCGACTCTGCACCCATGTCGTGAACTGTGCCTAAAGTGTCATGACATTTGGTTCTTTGGACTAAAAGGAGATAAAGAATTTGAAAGAATGGGAAGCCAACGTTTTACTTCCCTTAGAGCATGATTTCTCAACCTGGGTCTATTGACATTTTAGACCGGATAATTCTTTTTTAAAAAAAAATTATGTATTCATGAGAGAGAGAGAGAGAGAGAGAGAATGAGTGGGAAGAGGGGCAGAAGGAGAGGGAGAGAAAATCCTCAAGCAGATTCTCCACCGACCACAGAGCACCACGCAGGGCTCCATCCCAGGACCCCAAGATCATGACCTGAGTCAAAATCAAGAGTCAGCTGCTTGACTGACTGAGCCACCCAGGCACCCCCAGACTGGATAATTCTTTGTTATGGAGGCTGTCCTGTTCACCGTGTGAGACGGTTAGTGGCATCTCTGGCCGCTACCACTGGAGGCCAGTAGCACCGCACCCAACCAGAATATCTCCACACATTTCAAGTGTATGCCTCGGACTAGAGAAAGGGAGTTGAAAACGTGAATGATCCCTGCCTCTCGCTGCTGAATCTACTGCCGGAATGATCAAGGCAAAGGGCATTAGCTCTTGTCCAGCTACCTATCGCTGTGTGATTGATTGTATTCTAGTTCATCGGTCCGTATGTTCTTATCCTTCTTTGTAAATGAAAATTAGTAACCAGGGTAGCTTTTTTACATGAGACCCTTACTCGTCCTATTCCTGCCATCCATCACATTTACCTTGCTAGATTAGAGAAATTCTTAGTGTTTATTGAGAGGATTAAAGGAGCCACTTGGACTGGCATTAGTAATGTGTATCTTTGAAGTTGGTTTACTCTAGGATGATGTTACTGATCTGAGGACTGAATCCTCATAATGGAGACTTTTGGTGATTCTTCCGAACTGCCCATTTAGGCTAGACCAAGCAGAACGAGATGATTGAGTTCCCCCAGCAGAGAGAGATGCGTGTGTGCTTGCTTAGGTTACAAAACAACAGGAAGCAAGGATGTGAATGAGCAGAGAAGGGCGGGCCAGGGGAAGTGATTGACCAATGTGTACTGGGCCATTATACATTTTTCAGACCTTATTGTATTTACATATTACATAAGCTCAGGGAAAACTTGGAGGTGTTCTGGAAGGCTGTACAGGATGCTGGCTGGGAAAAAGGAAGGCAGGTTCTGGTGGTCCAGAGAAAAGACACATCGCCCAACCAACTAAATTAGAGAAAAATATCAGGCTTCGGGGCGCCTGGGTGGCTCAGTAGGTTAAGCCTCTGCCTTCAGCTCAGGTCATGATCTCAGGGTCCTGGGATCGAGCCTTGCATCAGGCTCTCTGCTCAGCGGGGAGCCTGCTTCCCCCATCTCTCTGCTTGCCTCTCTGCCTTACCTGTGATCTCTCTCTCTCTCTCTGTCAAATAAATAAATAAAATCTTTAAAAAAAATATATTGGGCTTCATGGCAAAAGAGGTGTTTTTTTTTTTTTTTCTTTTTCTCTTTTAAAGTAGCTCTGATGTTTAAAAAGATGTCCTGGGCTTAAGTGAAACATAATCACCGGGCATCTCTTCGGAACAGAGAGTCCTGTCTGTGCGCTCACATCCATTCCACGGCCACCCTGGGAAGCAAGGCAGGAGGGGTCAGCGTGCTGGTCTTGCCGAGCTGTAATGGTTCACATGATTTTCTTGCACTTGAACATTAACATTGGGGTTCCTAACAGCTGCACATGTGGAAAATGATAATCATTGGAGTCCAAAAGTAAAAGAAGGAAAACAGGAAGCTCTCAGTGACCTCTTGGGTTAGGTCATCTAAAAATAAGTAGGAGCAGCTTTTTAGAATCCAATTGGTCTCCCAATAAAGAGTGATTCATTAAGTGTTTGATATGCAGCTGGATTAATTGATTCAATCAGAATGAATCACGTCCTGTATTTTATTTAATTGCCTTGACATCAGACACAGCAAATCACGTGACACTCCCGTGTCCCCCCCCCCGCCACTTAAGCCAGTGCCCACATGACTCTTGAATTCCGAATGGAAACAAATTCAAGATGGATGCTGGGTGGGAAAACATATTTTCATCCAGAAGAGTTCCAAGCCCTTAATTTCTCTTAGTTAAATTACTTGGCAACCAAAAGCACTTTTTAAACTTCCAGAACTTCAGCAAATTTCTTTCATGGGTCCAAAAGAAATCACTTTTGGAGAAGCGATTTTAAAATAGCCACTTCATTCCAGTTCATGTGGTCCCTAGTCGGAGCGCAGGGGGATTAGGTTCCACTGCGGCATATGTCTGGGAGATAGGTCCCCACTTCACAGGACATTTCAGACTAATATATCTGCCATCTATTTATTGACATGAAACCTGGGATAATTCAGGTCTGGCACATTCCTTTAGGTGGAAATAGTATCATGCCATGTTTTATTGTTCCTCTGCATCCGAGTATGTTACTACACGCCAGCTATGACTTAGTGCTGGATAGGAATAGTTGATACAACCTTATTTTGCATCACATTAAATAGCAGGATACAAAGCGAATATCAGTTATCACTATGTAGAAATTCTCAAAGAGAATGTATCGAATGCTGTCTTTGGGTACTGTTAGTGGAGACGAGAGAATCCTGGGGAGTGAGATCCCAAGAGAGAATAGGAAGGGGCCACCTCACGCAGGACTGTGTGAGCCCCCCCACGGTGTTTGGTCTGTATGCTGAGAACGTTGAGACACCATCAAAGTGCCCTAAGGAGGGCGCCTCCTAGTGGTGTGTTTTAAGAGATCGCCACCCTGCAGTGTGGAACATGAACTTGTGGCGGGGGGGGGGGGGGGGGGTAGGAGGGGGGGGGGGGGGGTGCCTGGGTGGCTCAGTGGGTTAAAGCCTCTGCCTTCGGCTCAGGTCATGATCCCGGGGTCCTGGGATCAAGCCCCGCATCGGGCTCTCTGCTCAGCAGGGAGCCTGCTTCCTCCTCTCTCTCTCTCTCTGCCTGCCTCTCTGCCTACTTGTGATCTCTCTGTCAAATAAATAAATTAAATCTTTAAAAAAAAAAAAGAGTGGAGGGAGGAAGCCTGATTCTTGAGGTGAATCCCTTCTGGAGAGGACAAAGGCCAGGATGGGACCAAGGGAGTGAGTGGAAAAGGTGGCATGCAGGAGAAAAGTAAGGGAGAGGAGACGGTCAAGGTGATGGGAGATGGGGAATTAGATGGGCCATTTAGGTAGTCATCCAAGCTGCCAAGAGTGATGGTAGCTTGGGGGTCTGACTGCCGGTCAGTCAGTGCCAAGAGAAGAGAGCGATGGGCAGGAGACAAAGGAGCCTTGTGATAGCTGGTTTCTGTCACACGGTGGGAAGGTGCAGATCTAGAAATGGCAGTAGGGAGCAGAGGATGGCATGCCACCTCCTGACCCCGCCATTCACGGGCTGGGAGAGTGCACAGTTGCTGCTAATGAGTGCAGCAGGGGAAGCAGTCTCCTCGGTGAACACGTACTGTAGATCAGAACACGATACACACTGTCCCCAGCCCCAGAACACTGAGTCTTGGGAAATGTCCATCTGGTTTTAAAAACCTGTTATCAACTGTATTAGCCACTATCAACACGGAGTCTCCAGGGTTTTTTTCCCCCGAGAGAAGAGCTTTGAACCCACAGATAAGCATGTATGCCCAATGTTTTATTTACACATGAGGAAGGTTTTGCTAAATAGACTTGCAATGATTCCTCAGTTTCACAATAGCCACATTTTGAGAAGCAGTCACAGTCAAGGAATCCGGCCTAGAACTTTCCAGAGTCTAGACACTGCAGCACAAGTTTAGGGCATAGGGAGGCCTCCTTTCTGAAGCTTTTAAGGGTTCTCGAGAGAAAGCAACAAGAAACAAGTGACCACATCAAAACTCTAACCCCGAGAGAAACAGTAAACTCAGCTAGGAAAGAAAGCCCATTAGGGAAAAATAAAAATCTGTTAGCAGGTCATCTCTTGAGTGAGAATCAAAGAGAAAGAAAAGTCAGAAAGAACGACTTCATATGTCCCATCTATGTAATTTGTGTCAGTTATTCCCATTTGCAGGGAGAGTGGCAGATTTTGGGATGTTGAAAATGACAGGTAGCAAAGGACACCAGTTTTCTTCTTTTTTTCTAGGGATATTAGAAACTCTAAATGAGTGCAGTTGGTTTTCCTCACACGGCAAAACTGGCTAAGAGAAGAGTCAGTAGTCCCCATCTCCTATGACAACCCTGAAGTGAGCGTGCCTACGTGAGCAGACAAGTGTCACTCAATACATTTATCATTGTCCTTTCTGCTGTTGTCACCCACCCCCCACAGTTTTTGTGTGGTCCCCATAGCTGTCAGCCTTGGCACCCACATGTTTCTAGACTCTCCCCGGGTTTTCTGAAGCAAGACTCTGCTTATTCCCATACACAAGAAAGCACTGACTTACACCATACATCCGGGGGGGTGTGGCTCGTGGACTGCTATTCCAATTGTGCTAGTAGAGAAGATGGCCTTTTATCAATAGTGAGTATCAGATCTTGCTACGCCGTCTACACCGATCACTCAAAAACCTGCCGAAATTTTGGTTTGCGTTATTATTGTATGCCACCTAGTTTGTCGATCAAGAATGGTAAGCATCTTCTGAAAATCCCCAAATGCTGACGTTTTGATTTTTCACTTCAAAACAGACTGCATGTTTTGATGGAACCTGAGGTTCAGACTTCCTAAGTGCCATTTCTGCTTTTAACATAGACTTGGCCATTAACCCAGTGATGGTACCATGTTGCATGGACCAAGGAGGAAAGCCTTTTAAAGGCTCTTTCCACCTGATTTGAAGTTAGCCTTTTCTTTCCAAAGAACAAACCCTTAGAATTGTTTCCCCGTGATCATTCTGGGTCTATTCATAGGGTTATAAAAACAAGGGAGAAGCTAGACTCCCATATTCTGCTGCTAGATGTAATTTTGAGTCTAAAAGAAATAATGCATTGAATTTCATTATGAGTGCTTTTTGGCATAAATCTAAAATAATGCCCAAGAGGTGGCCGGCCCTAAGGATCAGTGTGCTTATTACAGTGTATGTGTATGAATGTGGAAACAAAGCAACTGTGTGTCCATCTCCAAATGAAGCAGTAGATTTCTGTGATAATGCTCCTTCCCCCAGATTGTCCTTACTGGAGGATTTAACGCATTGTATCTTGAGCCCTTCGCTGGTTCCTTAGTGAGGAGAGTCTATTGCACAGGACCCTGCAGAATGGCTTGAGTACATAGATCATGAGAGCGACAGCCCCAGCCCAGCAACTGGAGGCAGCCAGTGGGGACAACAAACACAGAGGGGAAAAGCAGACTTCCCCCGAGCTGCTTCCCTGCCTCTCGGGTCCTCACTCACGTATCTGGCTCTTTTACTGGGAACCCCAAAGTGTATCCACTTCACGAAACTTCAGTCTTTGCTCCATGCACCTGAGAGACACCTGTGTAATTCTTTACATATCTGACTCCCGCTGCCCCACACGCCCCTTGCTCTGGACCCTTCAGGAGCGAGCACTACACCTCTGGTGAGCTTTGCCCTCCCATCGTGGTAGCTGTTCTGTGAGTCCCTGTGGACTAAGCAGATGTACCTAGACCTCTCACACCTTGTAAATTCTGGGGCCTCTTGAGACACATAAACCCAAGACTAACGGTTTGTAAAATGGTATCCTTGTGAGGATAAAGCATCGTGTACATTCTGTCAAAAGTGTCACATTTCTCCATTCAGTTCTTTACTTTAAGACATACTTGAGATATGTGGAGGGAAAACTAGTGGCCTAGATTTCTGAAAACCCATGTTCTTTACCCATACTGGCCTCCTTGACAGTAATAGAAACTTGGGCCGCTCTGATACACGCCAAAGTCCTCCCTGTATTTGACTGAAGAATCAGTCCTTCAGGAAACAGTCATTTGAATGCGGCTGCGCTTGGGTCTGCAGCGTGGGTGCGAGCCTTCCCTGGCCCAGCCACGTCTGAAAGTGTTTTGTTTTTTGATTCCAGAATTCATCCCGCAGGCATTTGGAATGCCCTTATCCCAAGTCATTGCAAACGACCGGGCCTATAAACTCAAGCAGGACTCGCAGAGGGACGAGCAGAAGGATGCGTCTGATTTTGTGGCTTCCCTCCTCCCGTTTGGAAATAAAAGACAAAACAAAGAACTCTCAAGCAGTAACTCATCTCTCAGCTCCACCTCGGAAACACCAAATGAGTCAACGTCCCCGAACACCCCAGAACCGGCTCCTCGGGCCAGGAGGAGGGTGAGTTGGCCAGGACTTTCTCTGACACTACTGCTGAAACAACCGAAGCATTACTAGGTTATTCTCTGAGTCTTTCCGCTCTTGTGAAAACTGGAAAGGGAGCCCAGGGATCTGTCCACGACCCCATGCGGGACAGCGTGCCCTGGGCCATGTGGCATGTGACACAGCCCCAGAGCCTTTTCCTGACCACTCTCAGAGCTGCTGGGTTCCCCTCCTTGGATCCCCATGTGTGTGCCCTGTGATGTCCTAAACATTCTAGAGCATCACTGTTGATTGTGCTGTAGCGTAATCTTCTGTCATTCTACGACTTGCCCTAGAGACTCTACGGGTTGGGGGCGGGGCCAGGTGGTTCGTTAGTCTCTTCATCTCTAATCCAAGAACCACGCCTGGCCCCCCAGCGACCTGACTACCAGTCTTCATAAGCAAGAATATTTCTTTTTAATCAATGGAACTTTTTTCCCCCCACAAGAAACCTACATATATATCGTGTATCATCTATCATCTATCTGATATAGCATATCATATATCATATATATATATATAGAGAGAGAGAGAGAGAGGGCGCATATGTCCTCTTTCTTTCTTTCTTTCTTTCTTCCTTTTTTAAATTTACATCCTCTTTCAAATCAATTCTGTAACAGAATCAATTTCTTGTTTCAGGTTTCCTGTTTCAATCCAGGAAAGCTGAGTTCTCAGACAAACTGGTTGGTGATGGGCTGAGTCGGTTGAGAAGCATCTCTAAAATTTCCCAGGTCCCTGGGAGATCTTCTCTCCTTCTCCTCTTGCCCGGAGACCCCCCCCAGATCTTTGCCGCCTCTAACCACTCACTACTGCTCTAGTCAAAATCCCAAACGCTTCCCACTTAAAATCCACACTCAAGACATCTCCAAGATAAAGGGGTACCTGAGCCACTGCTCTTTTTCAAGGCGTTGGCTATGTTTAAAAGCGGAGAAGTGCCGACTTCCCAGGGTATTTAAATGGACGTGACGGAACTGTTCTACAGTCCTGTCATCGTTTGCGTGTCATAAAGCCATAACACCCAGACTCCACGTGTGCACTTTCTGGGAATCAGGGGCCCAGGCAGCGGGCCTCCCAGATGCCCTCCCCTCTGTCCAGGCCTTGCTAAGACATGGGCAGTGGACCCCTTCCTCTCCGCTTCATCAGCCGGTTGACGGGGGTGGTGGCTGTGCAGACATGGCTGGTGCCCTGCTCCCCTCCACTCGGCCTTTACCCGTCCCAGGACACCAGAGCCCTCCTTCCACCTGCCAGCACCTTGCCCCTGCCAAGGGCTTTCTCCGACGGTCAGAGGCACCAACCCATGCAGGTGATAGGCTGCAAGGGCCGAGACATTGAATGTCACCTCCCCGCCCCGACCAGAGTTGCTCTTAATCAGTGACTCTTGAGGCTTGTGGTTTAAATAGCCCAGCACCCTTGCTCCTGACCACAGTTGGCTCTGAGCTCCTTGACCCACACTGTCTCCCAGAGGTGCCGGGGGCTTGGGCATGAGCTGCATACAGGCTCATCATAGACTGGGTGACGCTCTCCATCCGCTGCCCTCCCTCCCCTTTCTCGACCCCCTACCCCCTAGAGCTGTCTCCTAGGACCACGTCCCTGATCAAGTTCTTGGTGCCAGTTCTGGGGGGAAGCCCAGCTAGGGCTGTTCCATGGAATCCAATGTTAAAAATCTACTTCCCCGAGTCCCAGTTGAGATGTTTGGTTTTTATTCACGAGGCTTCTCTGACTTTACCTCATTCATCAAGCATGTGATCTTTTTCTTGTTTCAAGAAACGAAGTGGTTGGGTCAAAATACAACAACGCAACAGCCGCCCTCTCCCGTCTTCCATTTGGCGAATGTTGTTTGTGGAAATTGTAACTGCCATTCCCTTACCCTGTTGTGGTAGTTTCCTGACTTCTTCGAGAGGTGTTTGCCGCGTTCCTTTTACGGAACGAACAGCATGATTCAATGAAGAGGCGTGGTTTCAGGGGGATGCGCAGTCCTGGGCAAAAGCGTTACCGGCTGGCATGCGAGGGAACTTGCTCTTGTTTTCTCCATCCGCGCCCTTCATTCATGCCTCTGTGTGGTTTGCAGGGCGCAATGTCAGTGGACTCTATCACAGATCTTGATGACAATCAGTCGCGACTGCTAGAAGCTTTGCAACTGTCCTTGCCTGCGGAGGCTCAGAGTAAAAAAGAAAAAGCCAGAGATAAGAAACTCAGTCTGAATCCCATTTACAGACAGGTCCCCAGGCTGGTGGACAGCTGCTGTCAGCATCTTGAAAAACATGGTAAGCAGATTTGTCTGTCGGTGATGGAGTATGAGAGATTCTCGGTTATTCAAGCTTCGTGGATGTAAGCACCCAGTTCAATGCTTTGTTCATCTGCTCAGACTCTGGGCTGAAATTTCCTTTGTGAAGAAAGTTTACAGATCTGACTGTTGGCTTTAGAGAGAGTACTGGGCTATACATGATTATGGGAGAAAAAAATCAACTTGATGGTGTTCAGGCCACCCAGCACCCAAGGGTCCTCAGACGTGAGCCTGGAGGCCAAGATCTATTGGGCTGGGTCTGTCCCCAAGCCTCTCGTCAAACACAGCCCAGCCACTTTTATCTTTTTTTATGCATTGATGCTGCTAGCAAGGCTTCCTTTAAAAAAAAAAATAAGAATCTAGCTACTTAAAAAAAAAAAGATTTACAAACCATTCTTTGAGTAGAAAATGCATGGTTTCTGACAACAATTTTCTATATTGCTCTTTGCATTTTTGTGGAAAGGTGTTCACTTCAAACTTCTTCACAATGACCCTTTGGCAACTCTATACCAATTAATATGTGACTTAAAAATATACTTCTTTAAAAAATTTTTCTGAAGTGTAGACGTATTGGCTGATCAAACTGCTATTTCCATAACCTGAGTGTGTTTCCTGTAGTGTTAGCATGTATTTTATGGACACGAGAAAAGTTAATTGCTTTTTTACTATAAAATAATACGTTCATTGTAATCAAGAGAAAAAGAAACAGAAAAGCAAAGAAAATTCTGAGGCTATCATGGAGACATAACTACTATTAATATTCTCATCTCAGTTTTCCTCGTGTAAGTGGGACTTCGTAAAAAATGATTAAGGAGATACCTAATTGTCTTAATCACTAGATAACATGTAGATGACTTAACAAAATGAGTACATATTGAAGCTTTATTTGTCTACACAAAATGTTTTTAAAGATTTGTTTGAGAAAGAGAGAGAGCACAGTGTGGGGAGGGTGAGAGGGAGAGGGAGAGAAACCCAAGCAGATTCTTGCTGAGCCTGGAGCCCGACGTGGGCGGAAACCAAGAGTCAGATGCTCAACCGACTGTGATACCCAGGCGCCCCTCTGTACAAAATTTTTATATGTACCTGTGTGTATGTGTGTATCTATCTATCTCTGCTCCTAGGAAAGCACACTGGGAGTCAAGGAAAATGCCTTCGTATTTTGAATTCCCAACATGTATCATGATTAATATAATGTAGGTGTTCAATAAATATTACTTGCACAGAATTATTTTCTAAAATAGCTTAACAACGAAAGTGTTCAGTACCATGAATATGTAAATTCAGCCTAAATTCCACCGTGAGGCAGAAAAAGAGACTCATGCTTTTACAATTATAGTTTTTCTCCATAAAGAATATAGAGAGTGAATTGTAAGCAGTTAGAAGAGTCCTAAGCGAGAAAATTCTGCTCCAGTCCTGCAAAAATCCGTTGCCGGGCTGAGTAACTCTTTACGTGAAAGAAAACTTGATATGTCTTTCTATTTTCTTTTTCAAAATGAATTTTCATGAATTATAATTTGTAAAATAGAATTTCCTTGAAGCTTACTAAGAAACTGGACAGTTCTTTCTTATTTTGGCATGGTTAACATGCAATGTAGGACCTAAAAGAAAGAATATTATCCTGTCAAGGACCTGATTCTGCTCCTGGTTTCCATGGTCTTTAGCTCCAGAAAAATACAAGACATATTCAAATGTAAACAGATATTCATCCTGGTTACTTGAAACCAATGCAAAAAAAGCAAGCCTCAAAAACAATTCTCTCATAAGACTTTATTTGCCCATGTGGGAAATGGGTAAGACAGAGTCATAGTCACTGTATCCTTATAATCATTTGTCAGAGATCTTTTCATTCCCTCCACAACTGGTCTTGGACAGTTAAATTGACTCTTCTCTGTGTCTGTGTATAACACCCTTCCCTACTTATATTTCACCCAGATGCTTTCTGTACTATTAGCTCAAAATTCCTTAAGCATCCTCTATTTCCCAGAAGCACAAATTAAAAAAAACAAAAAAACACCACCACCACCACCACCACCACCAACAACAACAACAACACTACCACCAACCACCACCACCAACACCACCACCAAGAACAACAAAACCAGACAATACAATGGAGGCTCAAGCCCTATTACGTTTCTGGGATTGGGGCTGATTTTAGGGTGGGGCATCCTGCTTATTCTGCCTGCCTGCTTTATTTGAATTCCCTAAGCTTGAGACCCAGGTGCTCCGGGGTCATGTTTCCATTCCAGTTTCTGCTGAAAAGGAGGGAAAGATGATCATGTCAATTTCTGGGACAGGCCACTCAAAGTCACGTTCCTTTGCCAGGTCAGTGCCTTTTTGGATGTACGCCTGTTTTTATCAATGACTGTCTTAAGTCAAGGTTACTAAATGCCTAGACTGTATCTCCTCTTTGAGGAAAATCACCATATAGCTCGTGGGAGAGAATGGCATTGGCCTTCTGATGGCTGTCAGTTGCTCTCCCTAGAAACAAGCAAACAAGATATATTTCAAAAACTTGAAACAGATTCTAACCAACTGAGATATATAGGAATTATAGCACTTGATCACCAACTCGTTATTTTTTCAATTACAGTCATTTTTGCTGAGCGAAAAAGTAATCTAATTGAGGAAAATAATGTCATCAAAATGGGCATTTCTGAAGGCTGGAGAGATTCAGCCGAATGAACAGTCCTGCCTGTGTAGAAAATGCCCTTATGCTATTTCACTTCTGTAGAAAATTCAACTCTCCGGAAACCATCAAAAAACTAAGAAAAAAATGCAGCCAAAATTAAAATTGCTAACACCTGCTATTATATTAAAGTTTTCTCTCTTGTGCAAAGGAGGCTCATTCCATTCAGTCAGGGTCTGTTTCTCTCTCTATAAGAGATGCCAGATATGATTTGAAGAACTCTATATGCATTAATTAATTGAATCCTTGCATAACTCTTCAGACGGATACTCACTGTGCTCCCTTTGCAGGTGAAAAAGTATAATTCTGGAGTGACTCTAAATAGCTCGATTATCCTGTTCACAAGCTCCCATCGAGGTAGAAGCAATAGATTAGGCTAGGGGTTGGCCTCACTTGTGAGGAAGACAGACTGAGAGCAGCAACAAGGAAGGTATGGAAGGCTTTTGGAAAATAGATGCAGGGGCGCCTGGGTGGCTCAGTGGGTTAAGCCTCTGCCTTCTGCTCAGGTCATGATCTCAGGGTCCTGGGATTGAGCCCCGCATCGGGCTCTCTGCTCAGCAGGGAGCCTGCTTCCCCTTCTCTCTCTGCCTGCCTCTACCCCTACTTGTGATCTCTTTCTCTGTCAAATAAATAAATAGAATCTTAAGAAAAAAAAAAGAAAAGAAAATAGATGCAGAGCAAAATCCTACCCAAGGGCAGTCACCAACAAGTGATTATGCAAATCAGCAAGAATTAGCCTCTCAAATTATTCCGGAAGTTCAGGATACCATTTGTAAGCTATAGAACTGATAAACAGGGTTTATGGATTTATAATTATATTTATAAATGAGTTTGTAATAATAGATACTAATCCTTTCTAACTAAAAAGCCCTGGAAATCCAGCCAAAAAGGGATTATACTTAATACATAAAGTGGCAAGACCATAAAATACATATACAAAAAGATACCTATTTCCTATGTAAGAGCAGTAATCAGTTATATACTCTAATCATAAAATAATTCATTCATATTAATATCAAAAACATACCCAGAGTATCTATAAGAAGCAGCAAGGAACTTCTATAAAGAAAACTGTAAAGTTCTACCAAGAAATCTAAAACATGACTTAAACAAATTAAGATGTTGACTTTGGTTCTGGATGAAAAGGAATAATGTTATAAAGATTGTAATTCTTTCCAATTTAATGATATGTTGTACTACTCCGAACTCTTTCAGTGGCAAGAGAGAGGAACCCATATAAAATTAGATTAAGGAAAGCACCCCCCCAAAGATCCTATTTACAAACTGGAAGTCTCAGTATTTTATCGAGATTGAGACACAGCTGGAGCCAGGATTCAAATGATGGTAGGAGAGCATGAGTCTGTCCGCTGGCTTTCCTCTCAGGCCAGCTCTCTCCACGTGGCTACAGAATGTCCATGGGCGGCTCCAAACCAGCATCACCCTCGTAACTGATTATCCCAAATGAAGAGAAAATGAGCCACCAGTGAAAAAATCAATGTAGGTGATGACCATCGGTGATGATGTTTAATGGCTTGCGCAGGAAAAGGAGAGCTGCTCAGACATTCCGTGTCCCGCCACAGGAAGGAAGTACATAATACTTCTTAGGAAGTGTTCTGCTGCCCCCTCCCCCCGCCCCAGAATCAAACCTGAATCAGAGAAAACTCTGGCTCAACTATGTAAAAAGAAAAAATACACACACATACAGACATACATGGAGAAAAGACTGAATAGAAATAAAACAGAATATTAAGAGTGGTTATTTCTGCATCAGGTATTTTTAAAAACATTCTCTTTTACATTTTTCTGCATTTTATAGATTTTAATATGTACTTGTTTTAATTCTAACCAGTGAAACAATAAATGTCTATTTTTAACATCGATAAAGAACTAAGACTTCATATAAAATGCGTGTTTAAGTAATGAATCTGAATGATGAAGAAAACGGTAATTTTTTCATATGGGGAAGATATGGAAATACATAGTATCATAGGAAAAGTTTTTCATCAAAAACGTTTAACATGATGGGTCCCTGGTGTTTAGAGGGCCAAGCTTCAGTTACCTGCAGAGGCTACTGGGGGGTAACTAAGCAAGCACTCGTGCACACTGTTGTGATGTTGCTGTTCCGCATGTTGCTGGCATTCTATTCTATGTCCACGGTGATTTCCTCCAATTTCAAGCCACAAAACAGGACTGTTGACTTTGTTTTCTTCTTTGCAGGCCTCCAGACGGTGGGGATATTCCGAGTTGGAAGCTCAAAAAAGAGAGTGAGACAGGTAAGTGAAAAGCGAAGACTGTCTTCGACGTTTCTTGACTTTCAATTGAATTACCTTGCGCGAAGCTCTAGCTTCTGCAAATTCATTTCAGAGTAGCTCTTCTGGATCCTCCCACCAATTACAGGATAATCGACTCCCAAGAGGTAAAAGGCAGCAACTCAGAAGCTCAGAAAAGTTGTGATGGAGTTAGGATCAGACCTTTGAAATCAAAATGTTTGGATGTGTTCATGGTGTGTCCAGCCAAACAAAGATAATTTATAAACATCTTATTGAAACTGTAAAAGCAGGAGATTCAGAGAGCACCTAATTAGGAAGGGATAATAAATAGAAGACAATTGTCTAGCACTTGTTTTTACTAAAACATAATGAAATGATGCCCTTGACATTCCCTTCATATAAGATGCTGTATTTATAATTTTACTTTCTCAAAAAGAAATCATTCTTATTACATTTCCGTGGAACCACTGGCACCCCCCCGCCCCCAACTCATTGTACACGCGGGGACCGTGCCCTTTGCTCCTTCGGCATTGTACAACATTCCCGCGGCAGAATTTTGATGCTAGACCTTCAGGAATAGGTTCCTGTGAGCGGGCAGGTAATTGTGCTCATGAGGGCTTCACAAAAGGCAAACCGCCCTTTGAAAAAAGAATTCGTTTGTTGGCTAAAAGAAAATTAAAACGTGACGTTTCCTCCATTGGTCCCAACAGACCAGTAAGCAGTAAGGAACACAGCAACTCAAAAGTGAAGCCAAATGAAAATAATTTTTAGCTGATAAAGCTGAAGGAATAATTGTTCATAGTATTGAAACTAACTGAAATCAACACCCCCTGATACTTCTTTTTTGTCAAGATAAAAGGGGCTTCCAAAAGGAGTCCTTTTTCTGTTTATTTGGTGGGTGCCTTTATTTGTAATAGCCACACAAGGGACTACAGAACATACAACACTTTGCCACAGGGCTTGCAAGAAGGAAGGTAGCATGATAACATTCTGGGGCCCTCTCGCCTGGGCAGAGCAGCAGAATATTTTCAAAACATTATCTTACTGACTCCAGCCACCGGCTGTGAGAGGGGCCCCTTCGCCCACTTCTTTCGAGGCTTAGAAAAATTAAGAAACTTAATTCAAGATCACACAGTTTGCCCCAGGTTCGGTTCAAGCTCAGGGTTAAACTCAAGATCCCACAATTTAGATTAAGCCTCTTCCCACGGTCCATTCTTTCTGCATGTGCGTGTGCTGGGGAGAGAACCTGGCGGGTTTGAGTGATCACAGGAAGGAGTGGTGCCAAAGGGGCGACTTCCGTTCCGGCCGCCTGCTGCGCACTGCTGATGAGTTGGCTGGCATCAGTGGGCAGCTGGGGACGGGAATGGCATTCTCACCAGGCGGAGAGGCGGCTAGTCTCAGAAATTATTCCTCGCTTACATCGGGACCCACCAAAGGGAAAACCTTTGCATAGAGATTTCTTTAAGGACTATCCAATCAGAATATAATTTGCGGTTATGGAGGCTTCGATTCCCAGGGTGACGTATCCCCTAACCCACCATTTTACTCTTGAACATCACTTCTTAGCACCCTACACTTCTTAATTCACAACAGTTGTTCCGAATAACAATATTAACAGCGACTTAATCGTCTGTGGGATTACCGGTTGCTCACCAGTCTCTCCAGCAGCCTGAGAGCTGGGGAGGGGATAGGAACATTGCCTCTTTGTTCCCTAGCACACTTGGAGAGCCTAGACCTCGGCCCGGTACACGGGAAATCCAGTGAATGGATGAATGAGTGAGTGAACCGATGAACTCTCTTACAGAAGCGTATTGCATAAAGGAGGTTCAGGTACTCACGGAATTATTTCTACAGCAGAAAACAATACACAGGAGAAGTTGAGCCATCGGTCATGGAAGATGGCTGCAGAGTTATGACTCCCTTCCTCTTGCTATTTTGCTTTCATGTTGTCATAAACGCTAATGAACCCAGGATAACGAATAAGGCAGGGACTCCCTTTGGGAATTGTTAATAAGGCTCCTTTGACTAATCTAAGGCAGCTTTTATTTAGTAATTGTCATCTTTTGAGGCTTAGTCACAAATGGCTTATCAGGGTTTTTAATTTCATCGTGCGCAGCAAAAAACCTTGCTTTCTTGTTGAGTATTTCTGTAAAATGTCAAAATTCCAACCTGGTAGGATCGCTGACATGCAGAACTGCTGTGTGATAGATGAATTCCTCCCTCCCACATTCACCCTTGACCTAACCCCCTCAGCTCTTTCCTCCCAACCTTCTGGATGGCATTCTCCAGCCCTTCTGCTTGCATCATTAACTGTAAACCTACAGATACATTCATTTAATAATGCATGTATTTCATATAGAATATAAAAACATATATATATATATATATATATATATATATATGCATGTGAAAATATATTCATGGTTAGACTCTGTAGATCAAGGCAACACGTTGTTTTCTTCTCCTTTCTGGTGTCTGTGTAAGCTTAAGACCAGATACTGCGTGTCCCCGCACTTCGTTTGCTGGGCTCTGATCATTGAGGTATGGTGTTGTGAGACTGCCATTTGAACCATTATTTTTCCAGTTACGTGAGGAATTCGACCGTGGGGTTGATGTCTCTCTGGAGGAAGAGCACAGCGTTCACGATGTGGCTGCCTTGCTGAAGGAGTTTCTGAGGGACATGCCGGACCCCCTTCTCACCAGGGAGCTGTACACAGCCTTCATCAATACTCTCTGTGCGTAACACGGCCATTTGCAGGAACGTGTCCAGGGATTTACTGGGATGGCCGACTCACTCATTGGACCTTGTACATGTATTTCCCAGTGACTTTTTTTGCTTCTTATTTATTGGTTTCTAATGAGTGGCCTATTAGGGAAATTTTCTGAGATTTACCCTGGGGAGCATTAGCAAGAAGAAAGTTACCATAAAACAAAGAGGAATTTGGGATGCTTTCAGATGACCCCAGCCCAGTAGAAAGTGCTATAAACTGATGCTTTGGAGGAACAGAAAGTGCTCACAGTGAGTCTGTGCCTTAAAAATGAGTTTGTGTTTCTGGTATGAGGAAGGAGGGAGCCATAGAAACCCAGAGTGAGGAAAGGGGGCAGGCAACATTCCGGGGAAAGCGGAATGGCGTAGCCCAGTGGCAGGGCTTTCAGTATGGCTGCTTGAGGGCTGTCGGCCCAGATCACATGGAGGAGAAAAGGAGGAGGGGAGGGGAGAAACAGGCCAGAACTGTGACAGCCTCCATATTTTTCTTCCTCCGATGCCACAATTAAAACAGGATCACGGAAGAGCGTGAAGACACTGCCATTGTGCCCTGGCTTTGGTTATTGCCGACAGAAAGTCAATTCCTTGTGGATTCCTCAACAGAAAAGGGCCTCAGATCTGCTATAAACTCAACTTTTAGAAAGTTCACCAACTCCCAGTCACTGTTAGTAAATATTTACTGAAAATGAAAGACCGCAGTCTACAAAGTAAATGATGAGAATGGCAGGGAAGGGAGAGAGAAGAAAGTAAGGGAATTGAAGCTACCTTTCTTCCCCGGGATGGTAATGCTCACTCCCGCTGGTTATTTCCCCAGGTCTGCTTTATCTTTACGCCCTTCATAGGACCTTGTGCTAAATTGCTAGGCCAGCGGGAGAATGGGTGCGGTGGAACGTGACTGGCCTGGCTCATCCCCTTCTGAAAGGGGTTGAGAGGGGCCTGAATAGTGGGAGTTCCCCCTTTAACTTACTCAGAATGCCTCCCTTTGCCTTGCTTAGTGTTGGAACCAGAGGAACAGCTGGGCACCTTGCAGCTCCTCATCTATCTTCTACCTCCCTGCAACTGTGACACCCTGCACCGCCTCCTCCAGTTCCTCTCCATGGTGGCCATGCATGCCAGTGACAACGTCAGCAAAGACGGGCAAGAGGTATGACGTGCCCCCAGCGGCCCTAGATGCTGTGACTCTTCCTTTTTCCAGTTGCAGAAGAGCGGGCCATCAATGTGATGATCTGTTTCACCTGGTGGAAATGGCACCTGCCCTTTCCTGACCCAGCTGTTGCTGTAGGAGGAGAACTAGTGCAGGCTTTTTTCAGGAGGGACAGTTCCTAGGAGCACACAGGCCACTGACGTCCCGTGTTTCCAGAATGCTTCTAAACGAGGCTGCCATTTTCCCTGATGATGCTTTATGCAAGACCTTGAATCTCCATTTGTGTGAAGAAGATGAGCGATGAGCTGTGGAGGTGTTTACAGCTGTGAAAAAATGGAGTAACGGGGGCAGGGGGAGATTGCTGTCATTGTCATTAATTTGATCCGCTTCTTTAACTCGGGGCCCCACTATGTCGTCACCTTGTGATTCTTCCAGATTGTCCCTCAAGCTCCCATGTGCCCTATGGCTAAAGGTGTGTTATCCTCCTTTTAAGAGGTTCTTTCTCTCCTTAAACCCTTCCCCCCAAATCGACTGGCTTAAAGCCATGGAGAGTCGGTCCTGCTTCCAAACCTGGTACAGAAGGAAGTAGAAGGATCTAGAAGGCCTGATCTACCATCGCCATGCATCTCGATGCCACAGCGTGTCAGCTACTGAACAGATTCTGCACAGTCCCCTGGGCCCTCGTGGGATGTTCTTGTTGAACCTAGTCCCCACTCGGGCCCTAGGGTGACTCCACCCCCTGCCCATCTGAGGTCCTGGGGTCCGGTTCTCTTTGGTTCATATGCAGCCATATGCTTCAAGGTGGTTTTGGTTTCACCCTCGGACAAAGGAGATGCTGGCTTCAATTTTAGGTGACCAGTTAACAAGCCTATTCAGTCTTCACCGTAACAAGAGATCTGTTTCCCTTTTTGGTACGACCCAGTCATACTTCTCCTTGACCTTGGACACCCCAGGTGATGTCAGACCCTTTCCTGTGCTAATAACACTCATTACAAATCAAACACGAAGATGCCAAAGGCATTCCAAACTTATTCCACTGCAGAACCTTTTTTTTTTTTCAATCCTTGTTAAGCAGAACTCAGCCCTATGGTAGATTTGGTTCTGTATTTATCACATTTCTTTCCTAAAAATCCTGGTCCTATTTTTTTTCCCACTTTAATCTGGAAAGGGAGTTCTGCATTTCTTGAGGTCGTCCTCACTGTTGGTGCGAGGATGGAACTTTCCTGACTTAGCCATGTCTCTCTAGCGTAGTTATAATTAGTGAACCCTCTGCTGGCTTCAGGCTTCATAATATGGTACCGACACCTTATTTTAGCACACACAGCTCTCCCCGGGATATACTGTAATTCTCATAATTGTTAAGTGGTAGTTGGACTCCCCGCCTGGGTGTCATCGCTTATCAGCTACGGATGCCACGCAAACTGTGGGATCACCTGCCAAATCACTGGGTGGAGGCAGGGCCCTGTCTGCGTTCCTAGGCGCCCAGCCCCTTCTCCGGTGCTCCTGCAGCAGCGTGGGAGCCGACGGTCGGGTCTTAGGTGACGAAGAGGAAGGCATCGGTGAAAGCAGGAAGTCCGATCGAAGCGACTCTTGCTTTTCTCGAATCCTTTGCAGACACTCTCTCAGCCCAAATGCGGAACGAAACCCCATCACCTAGGCCCAAAGCAAGAAAAGATTCCGGACTTGGGACCGACACCCCTTGGCCTGTTGGCACTGAAGCTGTCATGGCCCTCTCTCTGACCTCATGCCAGCTGCGTGCCTGACGCTTTATACGTTACAGTCAGTCCCCCACTGCACAAGGCCGCTGTCACTGCCTCCGCATGTCAGAGGTGGAAACCGAGACCTAGAGGGGTTAAGTAACTCCGCCAGGATCCCACAGGGGCACGACTCTGGGGGAAGCACCCTGCACCCCATAGACACGGTAGATTTGCAGAGCATGACAGGACCCTAGAAGATGGCAGGAGAAAATGTGGAGGGAGGGGCTCATCATTCTCATTCACACAACCTTCTCGTATGGAAGAGTGGTCGGAGCCATCCAGTGACCAGTAAAGTTGCAGCTGTGGCTCAAACTGGTCTAGCTTACTAAGAAGACAGGAATCTAGACTAGGAATTAGGGGGAAAAAACCCATGGGTGTAGCTGGGGGTTTTCCACCCTCCGTATGATTGATATTTGGGACCAAGTAATTGCAGGGCTGCCCTGTGCATTCTGATATTTTAGCAGCATCCTGGGCCTTTATCCTAAATGCTTGATGTCGGTAGCAGCTCCCTACCGTGCCCCCGTTGTAACAACCAAAAGCATCTCTAATTGCCTAGTACCCTGTGAGGGGTGGGGAGGGGGCAGAGTTACCCCTGGTTGAGAGCTCTGGGTAGCTTTATAACTAACTGACCAGGTGTTCTTGGAGAAATCTATTAACCTCCCTAAACCTGAGTTTCCTTATCTGAAGTTTGGGGATACAGAGTCTCCACCCGGCACGGCCCGGTGGTTGGGAAGACTGCTTTACTCTAATGTGACAGTGTCCCGGGAACAGCAAAGCTGTACGGGGAAGCACGAGTTTGCAAGTGCTTCTACGCACTCTCCACCTGAACCTTGAGTCAAAATGAAGCACTAGCAACCAAATGTTAAAGCGGCCGGGGAAAGAGGAGGAGAGGTTTGCTTCTGTGGAATGGTGAGATGTCCCAGGCGAACGGGCAGCCCACGCAGCCATCTCGGTTGGAGTAGAGGCTCTTGGAGTGGGAAGGTCCCGAGGACGTATGAGGGGAATTGGGCTGTGTTCATGGAGCGAATGCCTTTGTAAGGGGGTAGGTGCTGCATTCCTTTCAGCCCTGAACGTTTGGAAGGATTCTGCTAAGGCTGTATGACCCATGCTGTAGATTGGTAGCGGCGGGGAGAGAGAGCATTGGGAAGCCTCTGTGTGACTAGCGATGTGGAAAACAGCAGTCCGCGTTGTCACTGTCTCCATGGAACAGTGGCCTTGGTGTTCGAATCACGGACATCCTGGGCCCCGATCTGAGTGTTGTTCCAAAATTGTCCGGTTGCTGTTCCTGGGATGCTGCGGCCCCTAGGAGGTGGAGGAGGTGAGGACACGAGGCAAGCGTGGAATTAGGGGAGGCAGTGCAGAGCCAGCCCAGAGTCTCGGGAGAAAGGTGGCGAACACGGGCCAGGAAAGTTAGGAGTGGCTTCCTGGAGGAGACGTCTCGAGGGGCTCAAGTGAACGGACCATGTAAGCCCTGCGCGGGGATGGGGGTTAGCCGAGAGCCCCTCCGGTCGGAGTTCAGAGTGGAGGGAGAGGAACTGGCGGTTGTTTGTGAATATTTTGTTGGTGGTGGTTTGGCACGAGTACGTAGAGGCTACGGGATGGGCGCACTGCGGCGAGGCAGGACTCCAGCTGTCAAATATGGTCCAGAAACAGAGCAGCCTTCAGCTTTTCCTCTCGGCCGTTCGGTGCTCGGGCTTAGACAGGTTCTGTCTCTGCTGGGTAGTGATTGTGGCTTGCAACGTGCAGCGCTGCGGTCAGAGAGCATCGAGGAGCTTGGAGGTTCCCATGCTCTACCAGTGCCTTGCTGCACAACCTGGTTTCTGTGACCTAGAGGAAGAGGGAAGAGAACAGAGTTGGGCAGGGGGGAAGGTCTCAGCTTCCTCCTCTATGAGATGAGCATAATATTCCCTTTCTAATCGGCACTTACAGTGTCCTGCATCATTAACTAATAGGACCTTAATGATTTTGACAAGAAGGACGTGAGAACATTTGTTGGCTGGGAAATTGGGGGCAGATGATAATGGCATTTCGCTATCTATGTTCACTTTGTCTGATTCCATTTTATTTGCTTTGCTCCTTGGGGAAAAGAGAAATTCCCAAAGGGAAGAACGATTTCCTTTCTTTAAGAAAGAATACTGCAGGAACATCACTGAAACCTCTTGAGCCTGGAAAAAAAAAAAAAAAAAAACCCAAAACCTAGTGGTTTTTCAGGTTGTCTAAGATTGCTCTGGTATTGCAGAAAATGTGGTGTGGATATGCTCATTTTTGGTGGGAGAGTCCGTAGCTGGCCTTCAGTTCTTCACAAAGTCTGCGAGGCAGAAAAGACCTTACGAGCCACCGGCATAAAACCAGGATTACTGATCTCTGAGGAGGTGTAGACCTTCAGGAAGTGGGAGGTTGGCTTTGGAACTGGAGCAGGACCAGTGTCTCGCCCTCCCCACCCCAATCCCAGCCCTTGCTTTAAAGTTTAGTTTTCCCATTGCCCCATGCTGTGACCAGGGGGAGGTGCCGGATCATGAGGAAGACTGGGGCTGGCTCCTCCGCTCCTTCCCGCTCCTGGCTCCCCACTCTGGGCATCACTTCCCTGGGTGTAAAAAAAAAAAAAAAAAAAAAAAAAAAAAGGACAACAGCCCAGCTGCTTCCCCAGCTTATAGCACAAAAGAACTGAAACAGCCTGTGGAAAGTTCCTAGTCCGGTGACCGTGCATGCCAGACTGATAATCAATGCGAGCGATTCCTGTTAGGTTTAGAAAGGCTCTGGGATGCTTATTTAGTGAAGATAAAATCGGTCGTTTAATTGGCTGGCTCATAATTAGCTCATGAGCTGCCCCCCAAGGGCACATGTTGTAACCTAGACCCCCGTAGAGGTAGATGCTTACCACGGGCTGCAAGGCTGGAGGCTGTCTTCGAGCGAGTCCCCTTTCCAGTCTCAAGCACAATGAAACAAAAACAAATCACAAACCAACAAATAAAGCATTAACAAGCCACAGCAGCATGGTCTACAGCTGGAATCTCTGTGCCATTTTACGGACGGATTGGATTGCGTTCCCAGAATAGCAACAGGAGAAGGAGGGAACGGAAACAGAGTTTTGGACTGTCCTTGTGCTAAACATTCTTTTAAAGGAAAACAAAATCTCCTATTTGTTAATGTTGAAAAAAAAAATAGGAAAACCCTGATACGACTTTAAGGGGGTAGAGGGAAGCGCTCCAAAAGCCTAAGTTCCAAAGGGATGAATTTGAACATGACACATAGTTGATTTTATCCTCAGCCGTAAATTTCCAGGAAGAGAAAGGAAAAAGCAAATGAAAAAAATGGCAACTTTTATATCCATGAAGTAAAATGCAGAAGAAAAATAATCAAACAGTCCTACGGATAAAGAGTATTTCCGTGAAAATGCCCAGTGTTTACATGTGAAAGCATTTCACTTGGCAGGAGGCCTGAAAAACAGGCTCACCTTCTAAAAATAGCACCTGCCGTGTGCCATGCCAGGATCGCAGGCCTGGGCGGCCACCAGCTCCAGCTCAGGGCTCCCCAGGACAAGGGTGGAACCAGGAGTCTTTCTTGTGGCTCAGAATCAGGACTCTTGAATTCTATGCTGGGCACCCAGGTGCCTCTCAAAGGCTCTGCACGTCTTCCCAGACCAAGGAGACCCACCGAGCAGCCACAGTCCCCACATGTATCCCTGTGTTCCTAGATTTGCAACTAATATCGACAAGAGAAAGAAAAATTTGCCTAGCCTAGTGGTTCTCAACCAGGGGCAGTTTTGCCCACAGGGGCCACGTCGCCATGGCCCTTGCCTGCCTTTCCCGCAGAACCCCCTGTGACGCTGTGGGGGGGGGGGTGGGGGTGCCTGGATGTAGTTTACATGTTTCTGTTTTTGCATACGGTGTTCCTCCTACTGTGAAATAGTCCCTCGCCTCATCTCCCCTGCTTTTTGGCCTAACCAACTCCATTCCTCTTTCATGGTTTTGTGCAAATATCACCGCGTCTTTGAAGTGTCCCTGGGGCCACCAGAGTTGATAGCTTCATACTTTGTACCCAATCCCTGTAACTGATATGTTTACTTCCCCTCTAGAAAGTGACCTCTTTAAAATAAGGACTGTACTGTGGTCATTGTTGGGAAAATTTTAAATAATTCAAATCCATGAAAATGGTATAGTCTGTGGTAGGCCCTGAGTGGGTGATTTAATAGAGGGGTGATGGGCTGATAGATGCCAGGATAGGCGGAAGGCTGGCTGGCTCGGATGGAGGGATGAGTGGTTGGTTGGATGGATGGGTGTGAGGATGCAGACAGGGAAGACATTTTATATAGTACCAGTTTCACAACGGATAACTTAGAGATGTAAAATTGTACTTAATATGCTATTGAAATGACCACTGAGCTATGAGAGTCAATCCAAGATATGAAACAAAAGGGAAGTGATGGTGCTCCTCATGGATTCTACCAAAGGTGATATAGTCCTTGCAGGGGGAAAAAAAAAAAGGAAAGGAAAAAGGTCCCTTTGATTACCGACCCACCCAGCAGTTTGAAAAGCAAAAATAACACCAATCCTTGTGTTGTCCACTCTTACAGGTCACTGGGAACAAAATGACCTCTCTGAACTTGGCCACCATATTTGGACCCAACCTGCTGCACAAGCAGAAATCATCGGACAAAGAATTCTCTGTCCAGAGCTCAGCCCGGGCTGAGGAGAGCACAGCCATCATCGCTGTGGTGCAGAAAATGATTGAAAATTACGAAGCCCTGTTCATGGTAAGTGGCTCTCCTTAGGCAGGACACCTTGGTAAGCTGCCTCGTGGGGTTGCTGGGCTGCAGACCAAAACTCACGCACACCATCTCTGGTCTGCAGGGCCAGTCGTTGCCCGAATCACTAGAAGCCAGGCAGTTTCAATAGAACTAGAAATGTACAGAGCTGTGGTGTCACTGGAAGTTTGTGATCCCACGTTTAAACAAACATACCCAAGTTAGAAGCGTATTTTGTTGTCCCCTAGACCATGGCCACATTTCGGAGTGATTTAATTATCCAGATAGAGAGGTCCTTGCTCAAAATATTGTTAACATCCTTCTTTTGGGAGTTATCTGTGGCCCTCCTGAATTCACGTAATCCATAACCACCCCCTGTCGACGGCATCTCCTCCAAGGTCAACGCTGACGTCTTACCTCCTCCATGAAGCCTCACCTCTCTCTCCCATGTCCTTGTCATGTCACTTCTTTGTCCCTTAAAAGCCATCACTGTTCTTATTGATGTTTATCTTACTCAACATTGTGTTACAGTCGTTTATGACTAGTTCCCTTAGTGGCTTCTAAATGCATCTGAAACATGGGCTGTGCCCTTGTTATCTTCTCCCTGTATCCTCTGTACACTTTTGGAAGGCCCTCCATCTGGCAGGCACTCAATAAATATTTTTTGTATTTGTATTGAATTACCAGTTCCTGTTTTCCTTCAAAACACTGCACTGCTTGCTCCAACTTCCCTTGAAACATTAGAACAGATGCCAAGCCTCTTCTGTTTCTGTTCACCGCTCATATCGCATGTCAGAATTTACAGGAACTTTCTCGATGTTTCCTCTCCCATTTCTCCTGTCAATTTGCAAACACTCACCATAAATCTTCCCCTATTCCGCTAGAGCCTCGTGTGGCCGCTTCAGCCGAGCGTGTCAGTTCCCTCTTTTGCAACCCCTTAGTATTGTGTCTGCATTGATCAAATGCCCTGCGTGAGATTTACTTCCACGCCTGTGGTATTTTTGTCAGTTTGAGAGCCGGCGCTTTACACTCTGCCCTCTGCGTCTTACCTGTGTGATCATGACCAAGGACTTCAGCGCTCAACAAACATCGATTTCGGCTTTTCTGAAATGGAAAGGTTAAAAGTACACCCTATTTCCCAGGGTGCTTCCCAGAATCATTTGATACGTGAAAGCTTTCTGCAGGCTCTAAGGGTCTATGTAAATGTTCATTAAGAATCTCGTTGGTTGGGCAACATGAGCTGGTCCAAATCTCAGGACTTCGGCGCAAACAGACGTCAAGATCTTGTTGATGTGAAGTGTAAGCAGATGCGTGTCAGACAGCTTTGCAGCTAATGATTTAGGGTCTTGAACTCCTGGCATCTTAAGACGCTGCAATCCCCTAGGATGTTATGGGCTGTACCTAGAAGGGCCATCCATCACGTCCACTCAAATCCCATTACACAGGCCATGCTTAACAACAAGGGAAGCTGGGAAAACGGATTCCTGCTGGATGCCCAGGAAGAAGACAAAATGGATTTACACACAGTGGGAAAGTTCACTGAGGTAGAATGGTGTCTTGCTCCCCTCTGAGTCTCTGAAGCGCTGTTCTGTTTGCAAACAACGAACTCTCAAAAAATATGGAATTAGTCATTGCCTGCGTGTAAGTTTCACACTTCAGCCAAAACGCTCATAATTAACTACATATTAGGATGAATCAAATAACTGAACTTTTCACCATTTTCTTCAAGGTTTAAGTCCCATGTCATCTTGCCAAGTAGTCTTGGCATGATTTCATGCTCTCTGGATTTTTTTTTTTAACAAAATAATACCTCTCACCAATCTGAATTCTGTTCTCTAAATTCCATATTCTAAGCAAAGTTCTTTAGATGAGACCACAAATCGTCAGGCATTTCTTTTCCATGCGTATACCAACACAACCTTTCCTGGCCGCTGTATCCTGCTGCCCGGACTATGGAAAACAGCAGAAGAACATCAGTCCATCGGTTCCACCTTTTCCAGCATTTTCTTCGCTTGCTGTTCTTGGGAGATGTCGATGCCTGGGGTCTCTGGGGTAGTAGCTTACATTTGTGCTCCACAACCCAATTGTGGTCTTTACTTCTCAGTGAGGCCTTTCCTGGCCACCTGGTCTAAAATACACCCCCACCGCCACCCCCCTGTGCGCACCCCCTCACTTCCTATTCCCTCTCCCTGCTTTTTCCCCATGGCACTCATCACTACGAATATAGGATTTTACTAAGTTCTCTCGTTTATTGTGTGTTTCCCCACTGGAACGCGAGCTCTGCGACAGGATGAATTTGTGCCCGTTTCCACCTACTTTCTTTACTGCATCCCCCCTGTGCCTGGCACACGGTAGAAACACAAGCAATATTGGTTGAATTAATGAATGATTTGGTGGTAGTTCTGGAACATACGATTTCCGTATTGTTAATTTTTACTCTGTATACATATGAAAAAGTTTAGACGTGGAGGAATTAAGGATGCCTTTCCAGAGTAAGTTAAAATTAATACAAGCATTCTTGATTTCCTAGACAGATAATGGGAATTACGTATGGAGGGGGAAAAAGGGAGGAGAGGTGAGATGAAGATCCCAAGCCAAGGTCAGTAAAAAGCAAACCAGCTCTGGAATCAGGAAGCTTTGCTCTAGTCCTTTCTTTGCTCCACATCAACTTTCTGAGACGTCTGCTTCTTTAGGTATCAGAGGACAAGGTTAGAATGAATGAAAACCAAGATCCCTTCTAGTTCTAAAATCTACACGGTCCTGTGCCCTCGCCCCGACTTTACCTCTTTTATTTCTAGAAAGCACAAAAGAAAACGAACCTTATCACTGGTGGCTTCTCTTGGCATATTTGGCATCTCAGAATCTAGTTGGTTATCCTCAAGCTGCTGGGTGGTTGGCAAAGCCGGTCCACGTGGGTGGACAAAACTTCAGTGGTGTATGTCGCTGTTTCGTTTTGTTTCTTAAAGAAGCTTTCAGAGTGAGCACAATAATCCCAAGCAAGGATGGCCGAAGCCCAATGGTGAAAGGTTGTTAGCCATTGTGCCATTTCATGGATTTGCGGGGAGGCGGAGTTGATGAGCTCCGAAAGGGAGGCCTTGCTCCCCACTGGCATTAGAAAGGCAGACTTGTCAGGAAAGGTGGCAGAATGGATGGAGTGGTCACGCACACCCCCAGAGGCCCGGCGACCACTCAGACGTTTGTTCTGAGTGTTAATAATGTCCTCCATGTCCTAGTGTAGAGACTGCCTCTCCCGTGCAGGAGAGGCATCTGAGTTAGTGAGAGAGGCCCGACAAGAGCCTGACTTTGTCCCATCATCAGGAGAGGGGCCTACATTCAGAGGCTGGCGCAGGCTTTGAGAGGCTGGCTAGGGTAGGCTTTCACACTGGTTGTTTGCTTTTCAGCCACTGGGTTGGAAATCCTAGAGCTGGAGACAGGTCCTGATAACAGCCCTTGTGATCCCTCTGTGGAAAACCGAGGCAGCAGATTGTAAGAGTCACTCTCAAGCCTGAGCTTGCAGCAGAGGAGCAAGGAAACCACATTTTGGGAAACCCCCAAGGTGCAGGAAAGACCATGAGCTTTGGAACACGCTTGCAGAGTTCACATCCTTGTTCGGCCGTGTATTTGCTATGTGACCTTGGGCCCATGCTCAGCTTCCATGAGCCTTGAGTTTCCTGTTGTACCAAAATGAGATGAAGTTATCTCCTCTTTAGGATTATTGAGAATAAGAAGTAACATTTTAAGGTCCTTGGGACAAAAAGTGACATATACTAAGCACACAGAAAAGATCGCTGGTATTACTGCGTGAAATTGATAAGAAGCTCCGCTATCACGCACTTCCAAACTTGTCAGCTGTGTGGGGATGCCCACCGTGCCCGCTCTGTCCCACGCGCCCACACACCTCCTTCCTTCCCCACTCTTCGGTTTCCTCTCACCCTTCAGCTCACTGTATAATAAATATATTTACTTAGGATGCATATTGAAACCTAATAGAATGTAAACTTCTTGAAGACACGGAATTTCACCTGGTTTATACGGTTCGTCGATGTCCCATAAAGCAAATGGGTGCCCGGTAATGATTTGTTGATATGCGTTCCTCTTTGTTTGTGCTTGCTTCCGTGCCCATGCCCCTCACTCCCTCACCTTTAAATCCTGACCCTGCATTTGTGCTATCAACAGTTTCAAAACCAGATAACATAAAATGATATGTGCGGGGAACACTGGAAATAAAAGAGAAGGCTCATGCCTATCTAGAAACCCTCCCCGGTATCATTGTAAGGTAGAAAACATTCCCTGACGAAATCGTTAGCGCGCGTTGTCCCACGAGCTGTTGCTTCCATAACTGCTGTCGGCAATCCCAGAGAAAGCTCATCATTGCTCCTGGAATTAATAAGAGCTTCAGAGCAGAGTGGGGAAAACTGTCAGCTCGTTCTGAGGGCCGATTCTAAATGATCCCTACCAGGGTTCCTTTTTTGGAGAGAGGGAAAGAGGAGAAGGCGCTACCCTTCCAGGCTGATGAACAGCCCAGGGAGCATTGGAGACGTGGGAACGCCGGCGAGCTCCCAGCCCGCCGGGTCGTCAGCCCGAGCTGGGGACCAGCACCGCCGCGCACATGGGAATTTTCATGAGAACCACTGGGAGCAGGGGTCAGAGGCCGACGTGAGGATTCCAAGCTCGGAAGCCAAGCTTCGTTCCATGTTCCCTTCATTCCCTGACACAAACTGCAGGTTCTTAAAACGGCTTTTGCACGCCAAATCAAAGGGAGTCAAGCTGTGATCCAGGTCCTGGCACAAGGAACCAGCCGCTACCAACATAGCCAGATCATTATATATCATGTCCCTTTCCTTTGCTTATATAATCACTGTTTTTTAAAAGGACCACTATTTACGGACCAGGGGTCGGGCCGGTCGTGATGAACAGCACGAGCTCATCTAAATGTCACCACCGTGTCGTGAGAGCAAACAAAGGTAGTTTGCCCAAGTGATGCAGCAACTGAATGAATTATTTCTACA